CAGTAATTCAATCTCTAGTTTTTCATGTAATTCATGTGTTTGAGTTTGAAGGCTAAGATATATGAAACTGTTCATCTCCTCCTCTTGAAATGGTCCCAGAAGACTACAGTTTCTAACACCAAGAGCTGAACTTTCCGTAGATATATTTTACTAAGTCACTAAAGCAATAGCACCCTTCAGTTGGTAGGCTATTAAACAGAACATTTTTAGAGAACAACATTACATTGAACTGGATAATATGCCATTTTATTATGCTTACCCACACATCAATTTAACTCTGAACTGAATTATATTAAAAGCCTTTGTATGTGGCACATCACTGATAAGCATCTTTGTTGTTTATGTAGGGTGCTCTCTATCAAGAACTATAACCCTAACACCAGAGTCATCATACAGATACTTCAATCCCATAACAAGGTATTGTAACTTTCTAGCCTATCCAGTCACCTTGTTTTTTACTCTGTGCAGCTAGATGAACTTAGTTCATCTAAGTAATAGCTGAATGTATTACTTTATAATGATTTTACTCTCGAAAAGTTTTCGCCAATTGTAGGTGAGTCTCATTAAGATTGCTAATCACTTAAGAATGTAAATTTAGAAACAAGTATATTTGCATACTTTAAAAGCTACTGCCTGGGATTCTAACATCCAATCAGCTTGAGCCTAGGTGCTGGCTGAAATCCTCTGTTTTGGGACATTAACAGGTCTTGGCACACTGTCAACTACTGGGAGCCACTAAAAATAAAGTAGGCTGACTAGACAATCACAAAGGTTGGAGAGACAACCAAGAGCTAGGTCAGGGTTGATCGATAAGGTTCATCTTTTACACTAGGTCATTCCTTTACAACTAGGCGAAGTTGCTGTTTTCTCTAATGCATAAAAACCAACACAGAGAATTAAGGAAAATGAAGAAACAGAAATATGTGTTCTAAATAAAATGAAACAAGATAAAATCTTAGAAACAGACATTGATTAAAGAGTGCTAAGTGATTTACCTGACAGAGAGTTCAAAGTAACTGTCATAAAGATGCTTACTGAACTTGAGAGAAGAATGGATAAAAAAAAGTGAATATTTCAACAAAGAGAAAATATAAAAAAGTACCAAATATTGTAGAAGTCATAGAGCTGAGAAATACAATAACTGTACTGAAAACTACAATACAGAAGTTCAGCTCAGACTAGATGAAGCAGGAGAAAGGATCAGCAAATTTGAATACAGGGTTGTGGAACTCACCTAATCAGAGCAGCAAAAAGAAAAAAAAGAGGAATGAAGAAGAATGAAGAGAGCTTAAGGGACTATGGGACATCAAGTGGACCAACATTGGCATTAAGAAGTCCCAGAAGGAGGGCTGGCCAAGTGGC